CACCTACACAGCTAAAAAGACTTAATGGTGTAAAGCATACATATCTTCACTAACTGATAAGCAGGCATGGAAAAATGCTCTTTCTTTGAATGAAACACAGAATTTAATTCTTTTAATAATTGTTTTCACCACTCACCTGCTAGTTTGTTGCACTGTGGTGGCTTGCATGTTGCTGTGATGTTGGAAGCTATGCACTAACATTTGAATACCAGTAGTGTCTCCCATAGTGAATAAGTTTCAGCAGAACTTCCAGACTAAGACAGACTAGGAAAAAGGACATGACGTTCTACTTCTGAAAAAACTGGCCAGTGAAAATCTTATGAATAGAGTGCTGGAAGATGAACTCTTGTTTGGAAGACACTCACTCAAAATACACCTGGGGAAGAACTGCTCCTCAGAATTATCTTTAATGATATGGATGGAGTAAAGCTTTGTTGTTGTTGTTGTTATGTGCCGTCGAGTCGGCCCCGACTCATAGCGACCCCTCCTTGGGTTTCCGAGGCAGTATCACTACGGAAGTAGGATTGCCCAACCTTCCTTCCGAGGAGTGGCTTAGGGACCTTCATTTGCTGATGTGGCATGATTCAAAATGAGAAGAAACAGCTGCAAGCCTCCAATAATAATTGGAACATGGAATGTATGAAGTGTGAATCTAGGAAACAGAATAAGGAACTCAATAAGGATATGGAAAACATTAAAAAGATTAAAAGAGAAATACTAGAATTGGGAATGAAATAACTGAATGGAAAAAATGCAGGGGAGGAATTCAACAGTTCAGTCTATTCAATAGATTGGAGCAGTAACCGAATTTACCACAACTCAAGAGAAAAAAGAGAACAAAGAAAAGCAAACAAAGCCAGATGAAATTGTTGGAACACAACTAAAAACCCAACATCAGGATTTTGGAGTTCAGAAGAGAAGAGAAAGAAAATGGCATAGAATTTCCCAAACCTAAACAATGAGTTGAGTCTGCAAACACAGGAAGCTAGGAAAACAGACAGAATAAATACAGTAAATACCAAGACACATTTTAATAAAATTCTTGAAAATCATAGGCAAGGAGAGAGTTCTGAAAGTAGCAAGAGAAAAGCACAGTGTAACATACAAGTCTTCAAAAAGAATTATTGCAGATTTGTACTTAAAAATGCTGGAGGCCATGAGGAATGACATATATAAAGTATTGAAGGAATATCATTGTCAACCAAAAATATTTTATCCAGCAAAAATGAGGGTGAAATCAAACAATCCTAAGTAAAATTGTGTGGATTCATTACTACCAGAATGCTCTTTTGAAATTATTTAAGAGAATTTTTCAGTTGGAAGAATATTAGATATTCAGATATGTACATGTGAAAGAAAAAAGAAGAGATCTCTCATAGAGGTAATGGTATGGGAAAGTAAAAGGGTGAGGTGTATGGTATTTCCAGGAAGTAAACATAGTACAGATACTCCTTGACTTAAGACATAGTCAAGTTACCAAGTTACAATGAACCACACTTATGACTACCCATTTGTGTGTGTGTGTGTTTATGTACATCTTCTCATTAGTAACATATACTATATACAGTGTTGCTGCATGTAATTTACAGATGTTACCATTCTCAGATGTGTTTTCAACCCCTGATGACTATAAAGATACTGATAATAAAAGGCAATAATAATGAAAACTTAACACACAAATGAGGTATTCAGAATTGACTTACAAGAGAGTAGTCCTAGGAACAGAACCCCGTCATTAATTGGGGACTACCTGTACTTCACTTTCACAAGCCATATTGTGTGAAAAATAAGTACAGATTTAACCTAACAGACACTGTTGTTGTTAGGGGCCATCAGGTCACCTCCAGCCCTGTGTACAACAGAATGGAACGCTGCCTTGCCCTGTGCTGTCATCACAACTGTTGCTACGCTTGAGCCCATCATTGCAGCCACTGTGTCAGTCTATCTCATTGAAGGTCTTCCCCTTCTTTACTGACCGTCTAACAAGCATGATACCTTTCTCCAGGGACTGGTCCCTTCTGGCAACATGACCAAAGTAGGTGAGATGAAGTGTGACCATTCTCAATTTCAAGGAGCATTCCGGCTGCATTTCTTCCAGGACAGATTGGTTCGTTCTGGCAGACCATGGTATTTTCAGTATTCTTTGCCAACATCATAATTCAAAAGCATCAACTCTTCTGTCTTCCTTATTCATTGAAGATACCATGCCTTGGGTCAGGTTTACCTAAGTCTTCATAGTGACATCTTTGCCTCTTAACACCTTAAAGAAATCTTTTGCTGCATATTTTCCCAGGGCAGTACAACGTCTGACTTCTTGACTGTTGCTTCCATGGATGTTGATTGTGGATCCAAGTAAATGAAATGCCTGACAGTTTCTATCTTTTCTCCTTTTATTATGATGTTATTAGTCCAGTTGTAAAGATTTTTGTTTTATGTTGAGATGTAATTCATAGTGCAGACTGTAGTCTTTGATCTTCATCAGTAAATGCTTCAAGTGATCTTCACTTTCAGCAAGCAAGGTTGTGTCATCAGCATATCACAGGTTGTTAATGAGTCTTCCTCCAATCCTAATGCTATTTTCTTCTTCATGTAGTCCAGCCTCTCAGATTATTTGCTCATCATATAGACTGAATAGTATGGTGAAAGGATACAACCCTGATGTACACCCTTCTTCATTTTAAACTGTGCAGTATCCTCTTGCTCTGTTTGAACAAATGTGTCTTGGTCTATGTACAGGTTCCTCAGGAGCACAATTAAGTGTTCTGGAATTCCTATTCTTTACAGTGTTACCTATAATTTGTTATTCATAATGTTATATCCATAATATCCACCCAACCAAATGCCTTTCCATAGTCAACAAAACACAGGTAAAAATCCTTCTGATATTTTTGGCTTTCAGGTAAGATCCATCTTACATCAGCAATGTTATCTCTCAGTTCCACATTCCCTTCTGAATTCAGCTTGCGTTTCTGGGAGTTTCCTATCAATATACTGCTGCAACTGTTTTCTAGTTATCTTCAGCAAGGTTTTACTTGCATGTGATATTAATGATACTGTTTGATAATTTCCTTGGATTACCTTTCTTTGGAATGGGCACAAATACTGAACTCTTCCAGTAAGTTGGTCAGGTAGATGTCTTCCAAATTTCTTGGCATAAATGGATAAGCACCTCTAGCTGCATCTATTTGTTGAAACACCTCAATGTGTATTCCACCAATTCCTGGAGCCTTGTTTTTTATTTTATATATATATAAAATATATGTATATATGTATATATATATTTGCCAATTCCTTCATTGCAGTTTGTACTTCTTCCTTCAGTACCATTGGTTCTTGATCATATGCCATCTCCTGAAATAGTTGGACATCAGCCAATGCTTTTTGATACAGTCACTCTGTGTATTCCTTCCATCTTCTTTTGATGCTTCCTTTATTGTTCTATATTTTTCCAATAAAAACAAAAAAGAACCAAGCTCAGTGCCATTGAGTCCATTCTGACTCATAGCGATCCCTCCTTGGGTTTCCGAGGTGGTATCTCTATGGAAGTAGATTGCCCAGTCTTCCTTCCGTGGAGTGGCCGGTGGGTTTGAACCACCAGCCTTCTGATTAGCAGTCAAATGCCTTACACACTATGGCACCAGAGCTCCCATTTTGCCTGTAGAATCCTTCAGTATTGCAACTCAAGTCTTGAATTTTTTCTTTAGTTCTTTCAGCTGGAGAAGTGCTGAGTGTATTCTTTCCTTTTTGTTTTCTAACTCCAAGTATTTGCATATTTCATTATAATACTTTACTTTGTCTTCTCAGGTAGCCCTTTGAAATCTTCTGTTCAGTCTTTTTATTTCAGCATTTCTTCCATTCACTTTAGCTACTCGGAGTTCAAGAGGAACTTTCAGAGTCTCTTCTGACATCCATTTTGATCTTTTCTTCCTTTCCTTTGCTTTCTTTTTAATGACTTTTTGCTTTCTTCATGTATATTGTTCTTCATGTCATCCCACAACTCATCTGGTGTTCAGTTTGTCAGATCTGTTCTTCAGATGGTCTCTAAATTCAGGTGGGATATCATCAAGGTTTTATTTTGGCTCTCATGGGCTAATTTTTCTTCACCTTCAACTTGAACTTGCATAGAAGCAATTAATGGTCTGTTCCACAGTCAGCTCTTGGCCTTGTTTTGACTGATAATATTGAGCTTCTCCATCACGTCTTTCCACAGATGTAGTCAATCTGATTTCTGTGTGTTCCATCTGGTGAGGTCCATGTGTATAGCCACTGTTTATGTTGTTGAAAAAATGTATTTGCAATGAATAAGTTGTTGGTAGTGCAAAAATTCTATCATGTGATCTCTGGCGTCATTTCTGTCACCAAGGCCATATTTTCCAACTACTGATGATGATTCTTTGTTTCCAACTTTTGCATTCCAAGCACTGAAAATTATCAGTACATCTTGATTTAATGTTTGGTCAAGTTCAGACTGCAGAAGTTGGTAAAAATTTTCAATTTCTTCATCTTGGTGTGTAAACTTGAATAATAGTAATATTAACTGATCTTCCTTGTAGGCATATGGATGTTATCCTATAACTGAAAGTGTTGTACTTCAGGACAGATCTTGAGATGTTCTTTTTGATGGTGAATACAGCACCATTCCTCTTCAGTTTATCATTTCTGGCATAGTAGATGGTCTGATTTTCTGATTCAGAATGGCCAATACCAGTCCATTTCAGCTTATTAATGCCTAGGATATCAATTTTTATGCATTCCTTTTCATTTATACAAATTCCAATTTTCCTAGATTCATACTTCCTACATTTAGTATTCCAATTATTTTTGACTGTTTGCATTCGTATAGGCTGTTGATCGCATATGTCCCATCAGCATATGAAGGTCCTGAAAGTTTTACTGCAACCATTTCATTAAGATTGACTTTACTTTTGGGAGATAGTTCTTCCCCAGTCGTATTTTGAATGACTTCTAACCTGAGAGTTTCATTTTCTGGCACTATATAGACAGTGTTTCAGGGCTTTTCATAAAGGTTTTTTTTTTTTTTTTTTTTAAATTGTGATTTGGGTGAAAATTTACAGAGCAAATTCACCTACCATACAGCAGTTCACATACACTTTGTCTAATGACAGTGACTACAATTTACCACAATGCAACAGCTTCCCCCCCCCAACTTCTTCCCGATAGTTAACTCTTCCCTGTGTGCATCCCTCCATGCACTCCTGCCCCCTGAGCTGTCTCCCTGTGCATACACACCCCTTCTTTCTCCCATGATTATTCTCTCCAAGCAGTGTATCTAGCTCAGGTAAATGTTCAGCTCATATGCCTGTCTTTTGTTAGGCTGGAAGCCACAGGTGTTCATTCAATTCCAGACCTGAAGGGCAGCTAGGGGCCATAGTCTCAGTGGTTCCACCAGGCTCTATCAGACCAACAAACTTGCCCCCCCTTTTTTTTCCCAAATGATTTTGAGTTTTGTTCCACATTATTCTTCCTCTCTATCAAGGATCTCCCACAGAAATCTCCCTCTGAGTGCTTGAGAGTGGTAGCCGGGCACCATCTAGTTCTTCTGGTCTCATAGTCATATAGGCTGTGGATCACGTGGTATACCAGTTGCTGGGACTAATTGTTTCCATCAATCTTTGGTTTTCTTCATTCTTCCTTGCTCTGGATAAGCATCTAGATGGCTGCTTTCAAGCTTTTAAGATCCCAGTTGCTACTTAGTAAAGTAGGAGGTGGACCAATGTTTTATGTAGTGTGTTATGCCATTTGAGTTTGATGTCCCCTGCGACTATGGTCCTGAGCCCACAGGTTCAACTACTTGGTCCCTCTGGGTAGCTGGCTGTGACCAAGAAGTGACTACAACCTTACCCCTTGTGACTACAACCTTCCCATCTGGGAATTCAGATCATACAAATACACTTATAGGACCATTGTCTGCCAGTCCTCTACATGGTCTTGGGTACATTCCATGCTTCATAGACATACCTAATATTTCAACCTGTCCACCCATCTATCCACCCATATACCCATGTTTGCCTTCACTGACAACACAGTACTGTATGAGCAAAAGGGTTCATCTTTGTTCTCTGTACCTCCCATGTACCTCTCTATGTCGTCTTCTTCTTCAGTGCCACCATGTTGATCAGTCAAATTTGGTACATTGCCCTTCTCTTCACCCAAATCAATACTTATCTCTACCTATCTAATAGTGTTCCCTACCCTACCCTCCCAGCCCTGGTAACTAACAAAGAAAATTTTCTTCCATAGATAGATGTTTCCTTGACTTTTACAGTAACAGACTAATAAAATATTCATCCTTCTGTGATTGACTTATTTTGCTCAGCATAATGTCCTCCAAGTTCATCCAGGTTATACGGTGTTTTGCAGATTCTAGGTTATTCTTTAGTGTTGCATAGTATTCCATTGTTTGTACGTACCATAGTTTGGTTATCCATTCCTCATTTGATGGACACTCAGGCTGTTTCCATCTTTCGGCTGTTGTAAATAGTGCTGTGATGAACATGGGTGTACATATGTCTGTTCTTGTCATGGCTCTTACTTCTTTTGGATATAACTAGTAATGGATTGCCTGGATCAAATGATATTTGTCATTCCAACATTTTAAGGAATTGCCATACTGCATTCCACAGTGGTTGTACCATTT